TATATATATATATATATATATATATATATATATATATATATGCATATCTCACTTGTTGCTTTTAGCTCCATAGTATCCCTGAGCATATTGGAATTTCCAGTTTGGAGACATTAGTTTGAAATGAGTGCTATTCTAGTTATCCCTTGCCATTTCGTCTGCTTCTGGTACCAGAGGCCAGCTGTCAATCAATAGTGTTTGGTAATAAGGATGCTTCAAATCTATTTCCCTTTGGAGATACCTTGGGAAGTAGGTGGTGATGTTAGATTTTACCCTCTGAGGAGACTGAAGCTGAAGGATTACAAGTTCAAGGCTAGCCTGGGCAACAGTGTAAATGTAGGGCCAGCCTGAGCATCTTAGGATTGTCTCAAAATACAAAGTAGAAAGGGGGCAAGGGATATGGCTTAGTGTTATAGCACATCCCTAGCACGTATGAAGTTCTTAGGTTTAACTTCCAGTATTGTAAAATGATAGTAAAAAAGAGGTTTTGTAGTACTAAGAGAGACTTGGTACGAAACTATTCAATTGTATTTATTTCTTTTCAGCCTCTATGGCCTCACGTTCCAGTCCAGGAATGAGAAGAAAAATTTCCTTAAATACATACACACCTACAAAGATTCTCCCAACACCGCCTGCTGCTTTAAAGAGCACCAAAGCAAGCAGCAAAGCAGGTTAGAGATGTGTCTGAGTTTGTGGATGCCATGCAGCAATGATAGTAGGGGCAACCTCTTGTCCAATGGTGTGAAGTCGTAAACCACTACTTTCCCATAGTGATGCTGAGTTCAAAATCTATTGTCCTGACTCACTTATACATGTCTTTATCCATGTACTATCCCTTCCTCTCTTGCCTTCATGTTTTCTTCTATATCTGTTACTAACATAGATCTTCTATTCTTCTTTCTAAACTCCTCTGTTTTGCTCTGCTGGAACTAAGACATCATTTATATTTAAATAAAATAATTCTGTTACCCAGAGTTTTTTATCATCCATTTATAGTCTGGCAATGTGACTGCCAAATTTGTCTCTTTTGCCAGCATCTTTGTTCTTCTGGCCAGGGTGATTGTGTGTGGATCCTTCTTTCATCTGTGGCTCCCTACAAGTTACCCCATGTCTGTGCTTTCCCTGGTGTCCAGCTCTGTTGTCTGCTCTGATGAGGTTTGTCCCTGTGCCTGTCCCAGATGGAGCCCAGCCCTGTTCCTGTTGTTCTCACTTTATCTTCTCTCCTGGATACCTCCTAGCTTACCTTAGAGCTCTGTGCTATCACTGTGAAAACTCATGGCACAAGTGTTTGGATTCTTGTTAAGTTTTTGATGTTTTTACATATTCTTTTTATTATGAGTTTATAGTTGGACATCAGAAGGACATATATGTTAAGAGCTCAGGTCTGCTACTTGTTAATCACGTGTCCTGCCTCACACTAATCCTCAGTGTCCAGGGAAAAACAATCTGGATAATGATTCTTCTACAGAATTGGCAGAGGTAACTATGCAAGGGTAAAGAAAGTACTTGGCTACATTATAAACATTCAGTGGATTGCAGTTTACTTTACTGCTATTTTGCCATAGCTAACCTCCATTTCTGCCAGATAAATCCCCCTGGTATTCTTGCCTTACGAATCAGTATAAGTAGATTTGAGCCTTGTACAGTTAAATAAGGCTATAAAGATATAGGGTTCAAAACTGGACATTTGTCTTAAGATAATATAATTTTGATGCTTTTTTTATACAATACAAAACCAACAATTGTACAGTTCCTTTTCCTAAGATATTAATACTGTTTTCTGTCCATGGCAGTGAAGAGAACAGCAGAAAGGGTATGACTTTTTTCAGTCAGCATGGCCAGGAATCAGGTGACCAGAGGTTTGCATGCTCTCAGGATTACAGGACACATGGCTGTTCTTTATGTGTTAATTATCCTATAAATGCATGGCATGAACATTTTTAAGTAACAACCTTAAAATGGTGTAGAATGTGTTTTGTGGCCCTCTTGCATTCCTTGGGTGAATGCTACTTGTTCATGTGATATACACAACCACAGGAACACAGTGGGCAACACCCAAGTATATGGATTTCTGTGTCACATACGAGAAGGCTTTGCTCTGTTGTTTGTCCTTTTTCATAAGTGTCTGAGAACTAGTTCTCCTTTTGTGTTCTCTGAGTATGTTTCATAAGATTTTAATTTTTACCTGAAGTCCTTGGTAAATGAATTTTATGTTTTATGGCTGATTTGACGCCTCACATTTGTCAGGGAATTACTTGCTTTATCTTAAGATGTCTGCTTTGCCCATCCTTCATAACTATGTTAATATCTGAGATACTAGCAGTTGTCTTCTGCCTTTTTGTTTCCAGTTTTTGGACTTTACAAAAGACTGTCTTCTTTCTACTTGTTACTCTGCGAGCTCTGTCTATTGAATGACTTCTCCTCTTGGTTGCCATTCACTCTCAGTGTGATTATTGACAGGCCTTGTTTATTTGTTGTTGGGTTTTTGTTTTTATTTTTTTCTTTCTATCTTCTGTGTATTCTATTATGCTTTATTTTGAACTAATTCAATAATCTGTAGAATTTCACTTAGCTATGCTCTTTGTTTTTTCCAGTATTCCTTTATTGATTGTTGTGAATACATGTCCTTAGCCTTTCATGGCCTAACTGTGTATCATCAAAGCAACACACAGGAAGCTTCGGACTTCCTTTACCTCTTTGCTCCATCCCTTCTACTAACTATCTGTGTGTTAATTCCACTCAGGACATAAACAATAAAATACAATGCTGTAATAGTTGCCTTAAATAATTACGTTTATCTTAACAAAATGAAGTGGGGACTGGAGGTACTTTACCCACATTTGCTTTTTTCCTGATGTTTGTCATTTCCTCACTGAAGTCTGTGGTTTTGTCCAGTTTCATCTGCCTTAAGCCTAAACGTTTTATTATTGACCATATAGTCTGTTGACAACATAGTTATTTTATCATGACAGAGAAATATCTTTGTCTATTCTTGCAACATAGTTTTGCTATCAAATTCTGGATAGGAAGGATTCCTTGCTTGGAAGTCCTACTGTTGTTTCGGTCTCCTCTGGTTCCTACTGTCTCTGTAAGCTCTAGCTGATATAAATGTTCTGTGCTTACAGCATGCTGTCAGCTTTCTCTGCCTCTGCATGTGCCTGTGCTCTGGCTGCCCGGGCAGTGACTGTGGCTGCCTCTGTTCCTCCTCCTCCTCCTCCTCTCCTTCATTTGCATGGTAATCCTTGTTGCTGTTTACTCTTCTGATTGCCTCAGGTGGCTTTTAAGTCCGACCAGTTTTTATTTCAGTTATTTTATTTTTATTTTTAAATTTGAAGCATTCTATTTGATTCTTCTTAGTTTTTGTTTTGAGACTTAAAAGTTTTCATTCATTATGAACATGATGTTCTATTTCACCACAGATCATGAAGTTGCTGCTTTAAAAATTGTTTTTAAATTATTCATTTTCTGATTAGTCTGTCAGTTTTCTCCTTTACAAGAAAGATGTTTTTCTGTTCTTGCTATAGTAAATATTTATAATACTGTACATTAATCTCGTGTATTAAGTCACTTTTATATTAAATCCTAGCCATTATAAATGGTATGTTATAGAAGCTTTCGAGTCTTGGATTTCAATTCTATTTCCCCAAAGAATATTGTTCTATTTTAAAAGTAAAGAGTTAAATTTGCCAAATTTGGATTGTAAAATGATGCCCCTTGAAGTGGCCACCGACTCACATATTCAGCTTTTTTCTTGTCACCTGCGCCACCTGAGGCTTTCTGTGCATGCAGTAGGTTGATCACAGTTCATGTGTGAATTACAGTCATGCCTCTTCTGTCAGTTTCACTTATGTGTTTCTTCATACTAGTAAGACTAACTGTTATGCTGGAGATTTAGCCAAGTTCTGTGATAAACGGTTCTCAGATAAAAGCTGTTAGGAAGGAACAATGGAGGACCACCCTTGCTGCTTTCTCCTTATACATGTTGATTCTGTCACTTTCTGCTGTCCTGATACGCCATCCTTAAGGTGATTGCAGGTCATGAAGAGATGTCAGCCTGACAAGCGTATAGTAGAGGTATACCTGCACTTAGATGAGCTCTCTGACTAGGCCTGGTCCTGATGTGGGTTCTGAGTTGAGAGAGGGTGCCAGCCTCCCAACATAGTAACGAGGTGGAAGGCATAGGAAGATATGGTTCCTAGAGGTGAAGTGACATCCAGTGTTAAGCTAGTTTCATTTATATTTCCTGTCAAATATGAGTAAGGACAGTTCTAGTGGGCAGTTGAATTTCTGTATGTGGAGCTAAGGGGAGAGGCCTGGCCACAAGTATGAATGAGATTAGTAGAATGGCTTGTACTTACAATGATGGGAAGTGAGTATTTGCCATAAAGAATACAGCGTGAACTAAAAAGCTGGCTTTAGGAACACAGTCTGTTTGTTGTTACTTTTGTATATTTGTGTTGACTTTTGAAAGGTCAGTGTCATACTGAAAGCCTTCGATGTCTTATCACAACTGTAACACACACAGCCACATCGCCCACCAGCATTGTCTTAACCCTGATGGCTTGTGCAAACCCCAACGGCGCTGGTTCTCTCTTCTGTTTGTATAGCAGCCGGCGGACCATCTCCGGCAATGGCTTCCCATACCTCATCTCGGAAGAAGAGCTTAAGTAGCAAAACTGAGGGGCATGAACCCAAGAAAAGCACTGGGAAGAAAAGATGAGCACACACCAGAACCGGAAGTTCTCATGCTTAGAAAGGGACTTGTTGCTTAGCAAAGGATGTCTAAGAAATCTTGACTGAAGCTGGTCAGAGCCAGTGATTCATGTGTTACCATGCTTTCTTTATACATCTGTGTATTTCTTTAAACACCTCGGAAGCTAGAGGACCTTCTGTTTTTAATTCAGGAGCGTTGGCAGGATCTAGAAATGTTCAAAATAATGTCTGTCCACTTTGTGTAACAAAATTCCTGACAACTGCTATCGCTGTCACTGTGATGATTCCCATGTGCCTGTGGCAGAGACAAAGGACACAGAAATCAGGCTGACTGGTACCAAAGTGCACTCTCTTCAGGTGCCTCTCTGCACACTTGCATTTCCACAGGATTGCACTTAGTGAGATTGGACAGGCAAGATCACGTGTTGATGACTTTTTTAAAAACTACATTTCCAAAGAGATCTCTTGACCATTAGCATTAGAATTTTTTTTGTCATTGTTACAGTAACATATGCTGCAATATTTATTGACTGGGTTATATAGACCATGAATTATTTTTTCAATTTGTGCTTTGAATTTTTTATTGTGAATTATTTAAAATATTACAAATGCAGGTGGGAGAACTATACCTTTATACACTTAAATTTACAAGTTAATCTGTAGAAAATATTTTCTTTATACATTTCTTTACGATCAAGAAAAATTTCTTGGTTCATCAAGAAAAATTTTTTTCTGTATTAGCAAGAGAGGCATTTTTAGAGTTTCTTTTTATGAACTGTAACTGCTAAATTTGTAAATCTTACACTTGATTTTTCTTAGTTTTTCTTGAGACTTATGGACTCAGATCTAAAATGGGAGTTCTGCTGTTAGTAAGTGTCAGCCATGGTATATTTCTTGTGTTTTCATTCTTATGTCCGTGTATTTGCTGATTTCACCAAGAAAACTCAAAAGATTGAACATTCGTAGTAAGTAAATGGTGTTTTCAAATGATGAGATTTGGAAGAAAGATTGAGATGATTATTATAATTTCATCTAATATTTTAAAAAAGGACATCATTCTCCTTGGTGCTTTTTCTCCTTCATGCACAAATAATTGTTTGAAAAATTTGAAATTACTCACAAACTAAACAGCCTGCTAAATAAAAATCTCAAACATTGGATATGCTGTAACTTAAGGTAGTAAGCTGTAGCTTCAAGCTTGTGTTTAGAAGAAGTACTTGACCCTTACTGTATAGATAGTTAATGTAATTCTTCTAAAGAGACTTCTAACCTTAAATCATCTTGTATAAACTGACTTCTAGAGAATAGGCACATTATATTATCTTGGTGGTTTAAAAAGGGATGAGATACAGAAGTTCCAAATATATACAAATAAATAAGTTCATATGCTTCACTTGAATGTAACTGGATTATATGGTGATAAATCTTGTAAACAGTTGAATGTATGTACGTCTTCTGTATGTGAATATGTGGTCAATGTACTCATTCTGGGGGGTGAGGAGATTACTTTTATTTTTTAAGTGGAATGAATTAAAATTCTTTTTAGAATAAGAGTGACTTGAATTTAAAGCATTTTATTTGTGTTCTTTTGTGTTTCAAGATAGAAAATACCCAGAAGCATTTTACATTAAATACTATTTAATAAAACTCACGAATGAGCATACTCATAGCAGTGCATTGTCCTCTGCCTTATGAGGTATGTTAGCACTCGTTTTCCTCAGTAGTATTCAGTAATTGTGGCTTTACCTTATTCACCCAAATCAATACTGTTGCTTTATAGACTCATCTCTTTGCAAGAATCTTAGAATTGTTTTTCAGAACACACTATCAGAGAGTCAGTTTCATAACAGCAAAATAAAGTCATCATCATTTATGCAAGTGTATCCAAAATGGGTGTTTGTTCTAACAGTGCTCAGGAGATGTGAAGTTTGAGAGTTTTTAAGTGCTAAAACATGTTGTGTTTTTTTTTTTAATTTTTACTTATTTATTTATTTTGGGGGTTGGTTTGGTTTTAGTTTTGCTGCCCAGTTTCCCATCCACCAAAGAAATGAGGAAGCCAAGTTTGAGGAGTTGTCAACTCACCCTGAGCTGTTAGTCTTCATGATTTCATTCCTTCCTTTACCCTCAGGAATCCTGTACCTCAGGCCTCATAGCCTGTTAGCAGACCCTGCAGATCTGCTTTAATGAGGTACATAGTCCCTTCTGAACGACTAACAAACTCAAGAGGGCATCACAACAATTTTGTATTAAAAAGAAGTGTGTTGGACATTTTAAGCCACCAACAGAAAATCGACAGAAAGGAAACGGTAACATGGCAGAGTACATGGTACTGTGCTCGATGTTTGTACAGTGCAGAAACACAGTAGGTGACAGCCATGAAGAAATTAAAAGGTTCTGAGAGGAATCTGATGTAAAACTCAGGGCTGTTTGGAGCCCTTAACTGGAGGTAGGGCTTATACTGAGGGAAAGGAGAGGCAAGGGTAAATAACACAGGATGTTTGAAAAAGTCATAGACATTTTATGTTTAAGTATATATATAACTTGAGCTATGCCGTATGCCACCTGGAGTGATAATATTTCATCCAAAAGCCATAGCCTACCTAACAACAACAAAAAAAAAAAACCCTAGTTCCAGGAATGGGAAGCTTATTCTCAAGTTGTTGGTCAGAATAGAACAAGAGATTCCCAAAGCATTATAGGATATTGCTGTTGTCCTAGGTTGCCTCCCAGAACCTGAAGGACCTATTGCTGAATATACCACACATTTTGGACATAGGACTTGAGGGAATCACCCTGGGGACTAGAGATAATAGTATCCAAAGGTCCTATGAAAACTGCCAAGATAGATAAGACGTTAATAATCCTAACCAGCTATAAACCCATGAATCATAACAGTGACTAGCCCAGCAAGATATTCCCAAGGGTACAGTAGTAGCACTTATATCTTGGGAAAAACCAATAGCTGTATAATTGGACTTGAGGCCAACTCACTGGAAGGGAAGTCCTGCCCAGTACAATGAACCAAGTTAACTACCTGTGATTGCAGACGTCATGAACCCCAGAAGATAACCGATTACTGCCTCTTTCCTAAACAAGTATACTTTCAAAATAAATTCTAAATATTTATCCTTTTTCCAACAGATAAGTATAGCTCTCTTACCTCATCAGCAGATTCTTCGTGTAGTAGAGGGAGATTGTTACTGATTGTGGAGTGCCAGATGCCAGTTAATAAGTCTGCAGTGCAAACCCCTACACGCCTGAGGTTGAGGGGACATTGTAGAAGAGAGGGCAGGAAGAGCAGGAAATGGAGGAAGCCTGATGGGGGAGCTGTCTACATGAAGTTTCAGGAATACAGTTGCCTAAACAAGACTTGAAAAATGACTAGACTCTTTGACATGCCAACACAGATGGGAGAAATTTCACAAGGCCTCCCCTCTCGAAGGGCTACAGACAATCATTGGGTACTTAGAGAATAAATGTTCTCCAGTGATGATCGTCCTTCTCCAGGCCCACAACACATGTATAGACAAGCAATACTAACTGGACTTAGCAAGTTCAATCAGTGGCTAGAAGGGCGGAAGCATGGGACAGGAGCGAGAGGTCATAGATCTGAGGGAATGGGGAAAGGGCATGGGAGGAACTGGGGGGACGGAGAGAGGAAGAATTGTAAAGACAACACTCAGATATGAAATTCTCATTTATTTAATAAAAAAAAAAAAACCTCATTAGCTAACGAGAAAGTGTTTTGATTAGGACCACCCAGGTTTCTGCAGTTTTTACTTCCTACTGTCAATGTGCTTCATGCTAGAGATAAGCCAAGATTTCACTGGCTTTCCTGCTTTGTTAGGAGGTTCTCTGTCTCCTGTGAACTTTACAGACTGCTTTATTAACACCATTTTCCTTTTGCCACATTGTCTGAATGGCATGGAGTACCCCGTTCTTATTTGGTGGGGGATGGGACCTCTACTGCAGTAGCTCCAGCTCCAGCCCCTCTGTCTCGTGTGGCCATATCCACTGAGATTCGTCCCTCTTGAAAGAGACTGAGCAAAAACCATTTTCCTTTTTTTCTAGAAAGCTGGGCACCAAAATAGTACCATGTGAAGCTCCATCGTATTTCTATTTATGTTTATGGGAGACCCAAATTCTTTAGAATATAAGATATTCTAACCTACATTCCTTAATGTATACTATATATTTTTAATGAATCATTGTTTTTTATATATATTCTCAATGTGTATATATATGTATACATATATATGTGTGTGTGTGTGTGTGTGTGTGTGTGTGTGTGAATCACTGAGATTCACTACTTTCCCTTTGACCTTTGTACTGTTTATGGATGGAAATAGCAAAATTAAAATCTCTACTTAGAAATTTCTCTCCATCCTTTTAATCTTTGGTTTTACCTTACTCTTTATTTGTGGCTGTTTCCTAACATATATAAATTATTTATGACCATCTTAAGTTTTACTTTTATCCTATAATATCATTTTACCCTATGGCATGCTTTGAACACTAAGTAGTTACGTACTGCGTTTATGGCCTATGATTTTGTTTGTATTCATATTCATATGTTCTATTAGTTGTATTCCTTTTGTAGGATTTTTCATATAATTTACAATAGGCTTTGCTTTAAAACTAGTATTAAGATCTCTTGCAAGAGGTTTGTATAATCCATGTATTTTAATGTACCTTTGGAGGCAATGCTTTCTGGTATTGTTGTCTTTAAACTTTTCATCTTTCTGTAACCATAATTAGTGGAAAAGGAAATACCAATTAAAACTGGCTTAAACTGTTAAGACGGTCAGTCTACATTTCTTCAGGTCTAAAGGCAGAGTCGGTTCCAGCCATCTTCCTATCGCAATTATGTTGCCAGTGACCTCTGTTGTCTTGCTAGCTCCACTGAGGTAACAAACTTTATCACAACAGTATTTCACCTCCTGCTCATGAGATAGCTTTCAATGGCAATTAGGGCTACACCCTTCCTTGTTCATAACTAGCCCAGCAAAAATGAAGGCAGTTCTACCCCAGTGACGAAATAGCCATTCATTTAATATAGTCAGAACAACTAGTTTGACCACCTATCTGTCCACGCCCATGTTAATAGCAGTCATGGAAAATTCCATGCACCTGTAGGTCCCTCAGAAGCCTCAGCAGTGACACTTTGAACTGGATAATTGATCTGTTTAATGATACTGAGCAGCAACATCTGTGAGAAATTGAGGTACCACTGTAGTCATTTAAGGCAGGGACCCAAGATGGAGGAGGTAAAAGACAGTACACTAGGCTCCTGTCCAATCTCCCTCTGGCGGACAGGCATGAGGAGTGGTGATCCGTTGCTATCCAGGCAGGAGAAATTCACTGAGTGCAGTGAACAACGCCTTACTGCTTTGTGTGGCCTCAAGTGGGGAAGTGGGAGAAAACAGCTCGAGCGGAGGAAACCTCAGTCAAGGCCTTGAAGTAAATAGAGTGCCTGGCTGGGGTAAAGCCGGGTGTGGGACCCTCCCGGAGGGTCCCGTCCGACTACAGCTCCCTGCAGAGATTGCTGTGCTCTGAGCTCTTGACATGCACTATACCAGGACTAAGCTCCCGTGAGTTGGCCTGTAAGATCACATAGGGCTTGGAGCTGACTCACCCTAATCTGTACCCTACATGCCAGTAACACCCCCAAGATAGTCAAAAGGGTATGTTCATCAAATATACCCTACTTAGAAACACATGATTATGTATGGGAGAGAAGAGCATGACCCAAATACTACTCTGTTAGGAATGGGAAGGGTGACTACCAGCGGTGTCTCTATGCAACACTTGCAAGCACGTTTGCTGCTGTTGGCTTATCCCATTAAAGGCTGTCATCTTAACTACAAACCATAGGCTGGCTGTGGCCTACTGCTATAACCAGCATCCAACCAGTAGGCCTGCACTTGGATTCAATGCCGTGTTAGTTTGTTGTCTTCTTCGCTTGCAGCTTCTGTTATATTGATCTGTTCGCCCACACATAAGCTTATCGTTTGACGTGTTATGCCTGAACCCCCGGTTAACCAAGATGATGAACTTATTCTACCTGGTCACCCTTTGCCCTTTCCTTCGTCCACTGTTTCTTACACAGACTGGTTTAGGAACTCGGCTGATGCTGCTGTTCTTTTGTGGCTTTGCCACACTGTTTCTGCTTACCTCGGTCTGCATGTACCCTTCATCTTCTTACACACCGTGGTGTATGACTGCATATTTGGTCACAGTCTCCATTCGTTCAGTGGATCAGATTTCTCAGTTGAGTTGGTTTTCCTCCACAGAATAAATGCTACCGTTTCTCCTGTTCGTTTCCTCCTTTTCTTGGACAGATTTTATATAAGTACTGCATCTTCATTCTTAATTGCTACTTATCCGTAGGCAGTAAATGTCTTTTCATCTTATCTGTACAGTTTGTGGGGTACCAGTTGGAGCTAACACAGGGCTCCCTCTTAGGGAGGAGCTCTGTAAGAAAGGACCATGAGCCTGAGGGGTCTGACAGCTTTTGTTTTCTTTCAGGCACCGAGGAATCAGAGCTGCAGGG